TGTGTCCAGACTATGCCTAGTGACTGCTACTTGCAGGATCGGATACAGGCTACTGGGATGTGAGGGGGCAGCACAGAGCCCATCCAAATGATAATTGGGGGCACAGGTAAACACAAGATGCTTGAGTGAGTGGTATCAAGCATGAGTAGGAAACAAAAAGTTATTGCCTATCTACAGGAGAAGTTTTGCAGCTGGTATTTGGAGCTGAGAAAAGTGCCAATGTCTAGACTGCTAACCCTGTAGGCCAGTGGTCTTGAACCTTTTTATGGTGAAGATCACTTTTGGTAAGTAAAGAGCACCCCAGGATCTACCATTGCCTTCCCCCCTCACCCGGCTCCCACCCTACCCCTCCCACCGGCCCCTGATCCACACCACCCCCCACCTGGAAGCCACCCAGGCTCTGACCCCACTCACCCAGCCCGGCCAGCAGGGGCATGGCTCAGCCCAGCCATGTGCATCCTGCCTCTCCTGATCGTGGAGCCTCTGACAGACTGAGATCAACTGTTAGAGGCCCCACGATCAACCACTCAATCAAGATCGACTGGTTGGTGCCCACTGATGTAGGTCCTTAGCCTGGCTACTCTTCCAGACACTGCATTCATGACTAGATTAGGTGGTTTCCCACTCATCTGACAAACTGAAAATTTCTCCGTTAGGCACCTAACGTTCCCTATGCATTGTAACATCATGTACTATGGGTAGACATTTAGTTGCAGCACTGCAAACTTCTGGGACATTTTCAGCACAAGAAAAACTTGGAAAGAAGGGGACATACAGGTATTTCAGCCCCCTGACTGGAGAGAGGCCCAAGGAGCAGCTAATGGCAGGGGGCTGCTCCTTGGGCCCCTCATCCCAAAGGGAGCTCAGAAATTGTCCTCTACTGGGAAGAGGGCAGGCTGTCAATCATCTATCAACTGCTGAAAAGCATAAGCTACCAAGGACAGCCCCCTTTCCGGCAGTACCATTCCTAGAGCTCCAGCTCTTGTCAGGCAATCCCCTCACCCTAAACCTAACATCATCCCTCTGTTGCCTGCCTGCTCTACCCACTTGAGGGGTGGGGGAGAAGAGAGCTGAGCAGGGGTAAGGGTAGGGTACGGGAACTCCCACTGCTACCTGAACAGTACTGAGATGCTCTGGGACTGTTCAAGCAGCCGTGGGAACTGGCTGGCAGGGCTCTACAACAGCTTGCTGCTGGGCAAGCGATCAGGGAGCCAGCACTCTCCTTTTCTCCCCCTTGGAGGGAGGGAGAGTATGGGATTGTGGGATGCTGAGACTTTTAGGGACAGTCCCATGTGGACAGACATTACCCATGATGCTATGAAAGTTGTCCCGCTGGAGAAGTCACCGGTTGAGAGAGCTAACAAGTTTGTGGCAAAGTCATGGTGTTTTTCCTGCCACAAATCACTTAAATGTTTGTAAGCTCACTTTTTGTGCCAGGAAAAGGGCATATTTCCTGACACAAATGTAATGCCTATCCATTGCCTTAGATTATCTGCTTCACTTCCCCATCTATGGATACACAATGGAGATAATATTTCTTTTCTACCTCACTGTGGAGTTGTGAGCAGAAATATACTAAAGATTGTGAGGTGCTCAGATACCAGGATGATTCTGGTCATATGAGTACCAGAAATGAACAGAAAAAGGTAGGATAATGAAATAACAAACTAACCACCAGCATTGTTGAGTAAGAAGACTGTTGTATTCTAAATAAAGGGAAGCTTTTCAAGGTTGTCAGTTTAAGTCCTAGATAGAGCATATTACAATAACCAAGCCTACATGGTTATTTATCCCAATCCAAAATGTCTCAAGTAAAATTTCCAAGGTTATTGATTAGAAATGTAATTACAATATCTACATAAGGATTTTACACTGTTGAACTGGGAGAAACAGAGAAGTCCTCTTTTTATTGCTCACTACATTTAGATGCAACTAGGAACTGTGTGTAAAGGATTAAATAAATGTCATTGAGCTCCTGCCACATGACAGATATAGATTTAGAATTAATTCTTCAAACACTAATTATGCGATGCAATCTTTTCTCATGACAAACAACAAGCACAAATGTGTGTGCTTCCAGACAAACAATCTCTGGAGCAAAAAGCCAAAGCAGCAGCAGGACCTAAGTTATAAATCAGCAAAATAGGATGCAAAGAGACCAGAATAGGTAGTATTCTCTGTTATACAAGATGTCTCCAAGCTTACTGTATCCATTATAAATCTTTATTTCTCAGCTTTTCCTAAAGCTAAAATGTATTTAACTGTTCAAAAGTTGTCTATTTTCTCCAGTGTGTCTATGTTTCAACAGGTATATCAACTCTACAATGTATCTGCCAACCATTAGTCTATGTATGTCTATTATCTGGTTTCAATTATCAAGAACAATCTAAATATTTCTTTGTTCTTTTATGGAAATCACACAGACCTGATCAAATTTCCAAAGTTTCCCTCCTATGACTGTCTACATATACTATTTCCCATGGTTCCTCTATTTGGTGATAGGGTTTCACCTGAATGTAGAGAGGAGGATAACAAAGCATACATATACTTACACATACTATATTTTTTACACTAGATAAGTGGATAGAATAGAAAACAAAAGTAGAAATCTAATTGACAAAAGTTTATTGTAGGCATCAGAAATGAAACAGGTTTTCAGAAGTATTTAAGAGAGAGAATAGTGGCTTGGCAGATTATACCAGAAAAGGCTTCACAGAAGGAAATACAGCTGTTTCTTGGAAAAGCAGATAAACAAGTCACCACTGGCAAAAAAACAGGACAGGATACATCCCAGTAAAAGTAGCCTAATAATAGGGCAAATTAGAAAAGCTAGAAAGGATCATGTTGTAGGATCTTGAAGGCAATGCCAGGAAGTTTGAACTTGCCATAGTGGTGAAATTCAAAGGGAAGGTATTATAGTCAGAACAATGAGAAAAGGAGATGAGCTGAGTGTCTGCGCTTAGCAAAAATTCAAGCAGTAGAACCTGAGGTTCTCAAGGCCAGAAAGGAGACTCTTGCAATAGACGCAGTCAATGAGAAAGATGCTGATGGTGATTCTTGCTGTCTGGACAAGCAAAAATGCTGTCTGGACAAGCTGTCTGGACAGAAAAAGAAAGGAAGGATATTAGAGAAGAGTAGCAAATGGGAAAATTTGAATATGTCATTTATGAGAGTCTAAGATGAGCTCCAGACAATAGTCTGGTTGACAGGGAGGACAAGGATATGTTTATCACTGATGCAGAATGAAGGGAAGTATCACCAGCAGTCAAGATACCACAAGCCAGATTGCAATCCTGCAGCTTTCACTGACTTAGCAGAGCAACTTTTTTGAGAATGCCAGAACGACAACAAAATACAGACCTCTTTGCACTGGCTTAGTAGAGCTAGCCAGCATAAAAAATTATTTTTTGTCTCTCAAGTCACCTAATAGAACCTGAACACACAGATGGAAAACATCTGTTCAATACAAATGCACTATATTTGCTAGGGTTAAAGTGTTATAGCCATGACAGTCCAGGAGATATAGGAGATCTGAGAGGCAATGATTTTTTTTTTTGCGGCCGGGGTGGGGGGTGGATATCTATTATTAGACCAACTGTGGGAGAGATGTTAGACAAACTTTTGGGCATGTAGTGCACCTATTCAGATCTGTGTAATGGCCAAAACTGAAGACCAGAGTGTGTCTGAAATCTTTTCCCTACTCTACAGTTGATCCATTTTTGCTAGTCATTTTCCTGAATTACAACCATATTTTCACTGCATCTGCATCTCTCAAACACAAGTTGAGGCTTACCATGTTCAGAAAAAACAATAAGATCCCAAGACAGTTTGAAATTAAACAATTCCGTCTTAGCCATGCTAATAGTATTGTGAGGCTGCCTCAACACAATCAGTCTCATAGAGCTAAGCCCTTCCTGATACATGTGTGATCTTCCTCTCATTTAAGAGCATGTTAACAGTTAACATATTTACTACCAGGTCATGTCTTTTTTTTTTTAAACTACATAAAGGGACAATCAACATCAAGTCAACTTAAAAATGAATGTAAAATAAGAGTCTCAGGTACAACACTGACAATTTCTGTGGTTTTACAATTTTATTTTCCTTTTGTCTCTGTTGCTGAGAAAAAAAACAGCTGAACTGACAACAGTGAAATAAAACAAAACATGCTGTCAAATGCAGAAAGTAAAAAATAACCACAGGGAAAAGGAGTGAGAACTTTTTCTCTCCTCTCATTCACTCAGAGTAATCTTACATGCTACTTTTAGCAACTGCTGATAAAACTTTTTTAGACAGAAGTGCAATATTGAAGTCTCTGTAAATCTCCATCTGTTCTACTAATCAAGTGCCAGATTTTAACAACTTTAATCATAATGGGTGCATCTACATGTGCAATTAACGTGACGAAATCAACTCCAAAACAGTTCTCACAGAGAAAACTGCTCCCAGGTGCAGAGTCTACACATGTGCCCAGGAATGCAACACTCTGAGCCAGGGCGGAGCAGCCCTGGGCTGGAAGGAGACCTAGGAAGTCAGCCCCAGGCTCTGGGTGGCAGCGTCAGGCAGCAGAGGGGCTGACTAGGGCTCAAGAATGCTAAAGTGTGGGGCCTGGTGGTAGATAGCCCCTGTCACCATCTACACGTGAGATTTGGAAGAGTAAATTACTTCACCACAATACTATTGTCCCCAACAGTACTATCCTATGAAGGAGTTAATTAATTTACTACAGCCTAATATCAGCACACATGTAGACTGATATTTTATTGCAGAGCAAATTAGTTAACTCCATAGTAAAGCACATGTGTAGATGCACCCGAGTAGTACCTTACCAAAAGAATCGCTCCCCTAATTAACACTAGAATTCTGCAGAGGTCTTCTCGGAAACACTAATTTAAAAAAGCAGACATGATATTCAAAATGAGGCATTCATTCTGAGTGCACCTAAGTATTTTGCTAAAAAAGTAGTGCTAAAACTTACTGGGGGAAGGAAGTTTACTTACATAGAAGGTCTGTGGACATGTTTACAGAGCAGCCAAAGAACACCTATATAAAGACAGTAAAAAAAAGAAGCGTCAGTTTTCTACATTAGCAATATACATGTTTAGCACTGAAAGAAACAATCATATGTACTGCCAACTGTAGAATCATAGTATTATAAGGACATGTTTTTACTTTTTGATTTTGCTGCAGTTGAAAGAGCCCACACAAGGGACAACGTAAATTTAACACAGAATTTCAGTGTTATCTATAAATAGTTGCTCCATTCTTTATGAGACAGATGGATTTTTTCTGAAGTGGTTTAA